CAAAAGGGTAGTGTGCTGGCCCTATATGCCAGAGGTGGTGAGTTCAAACCCAGCCCCAGCCAAAAACTGCAAAAATAAAAATAAAAATAACCAGAATTTTCTTTAGCCTGGGCAGTTCAAGGTCTGCCATGGACAAAGGGCCCTCAAAAATATCTCAGGCTTTCAGCTTAAACCCTTGAAGGGCTATGCTTGAAGGGCAAACTGGAAACAAACTAGCCTTCACAGCAACTCTGGAATCAATCATCAAATTATCTCAATCCTTGATTAAATCAAGAAAATCTGAGTTTACCTCAATTGTCAGAAGAAATTAAATTTTTTTCTGGAGGAATATATTAGCCAAACCTTCAGTTTTTTCATATATAATGTTTAGGCTTAAATTTTAAAATTACCAGGTGGTGCCCATAACTCAGTGGGTAGGGCACCAGCCAGGTACACTAAGACTAGCTATTTGAACCCAGCCCAGACCAGCAGGTGGTTTGAACCTGGCCCAGGCCAGCTAAAACAACAATGACAACTGCAACAACAACAACAACAAAAAATAGCCAGGTGTTATGGGCACCTGTAGTCCCAGCTACTTGGGAGACTGAGACAAGAGAATCTCTTAAGCCCAAGAGAGTTTGAGGTTGCTGTGAGCTGTGACACCACAGCACTCTATGCAGTCTACCCAAAGTGAGACTGTGTTACCCCCCAAAAAAAATTTTTTTTAATTACCAGACATGCCAGAGATAGAACAAAATGACTAAAAATTAAAAGACCAAAAGATTGACAACATAAACTTAAAAATCCTGATACTTATATTCTTACATGGACTTTAAACAGCTGTTACATGCTAAAGTAAAAGAAATGACAAAAATGGTAAATTTGACTAGAAAACTGTATTCAGGCTCGACGCCTGTAGCTTAAGCAGCTAAGGTACCAGCCACATACACCAGAGTTGGCAGGTTCAAATCCACCCTGGGCCTGCCAAACAACAATGACAACTACAACCAAAAAATAGCCAGGCATTGTGGTGGGTACCTATCGTCCCGGCTACTTGGGAGGCTGAGGCAAGATAATCACTTGAGCCCAGGAGTTTGAGGTTGCTGTGAGCTGTGACAGCAGGGCACTCTTCCCAGGGCAAGAGCTTAAGACTCTGTCTCAAAAAAAAAAAGATACTGACAGAGAGTTTTTCAATACCAATAAAAAACATCAAGCTAGAGAATGAACGCGTTGCACTAATCTCAAGCAAGATAAATATAAAAAAAAACCCACACACACTTAGATATTCAGCAAAATTACTGAAAACCAAGACAAAAAGAAAATGTTAACAGAAGAACACAATGTTTTCAAAGGACCAGTAATAAAACTAACAGAAATGATTCGAATGGAAATGACGGAGCCCCCAAAACAATAGACTGGCATTTGTAAGGTACAGGAAAAAATTACTACCAATATGTTAAATTTTCGAGTTACTTTTGGGGGTTTTCCTCATGTGAATCTGCTTGTTAGATTCCAGTGGGTGTTTCTGATGTGAGTGGAATGTGATGGGAGTGTGGAGTTATTACTGCTCCAAGGAACAGCATTTCTGGTGCTTCCAGTTTGCACTCATTTCCCCCTAACTGTTAGTTCATTTGTCACAGTGGGTGATTGGAGAAAGAGGGAATTTTTGATGGAACCATATATCCATCAAAAATTTGCTTTAAAAATGAAGGTGAAATAAATACATTTTCAGCCAAACAAAAACTGCAAACCTACACTAAAATGAGTTTTTTAGGCAGGATTATGAAAGCATGGAAATGCAGAAAGGATTAAAGACCAAAAAAGGGTCAATATGTCAGTTAATATAAATGAGTGTTGATTGTATAAAATATCTTGTGAGATTTAAAGTTTATATAAGTACTATATATTAAAAACATATATGAAGAGTAAATATTGTCTAAGTAGTAAATATCTGAAATAGTTAAAATATAAACATATACATGTGCACATACAAATATATTTAAAATGCATGTAAATAAATAGCACACAATGGCATAAAAAATAGAAAGGAATAAATGTTTGCTTTTTTGTTTGGGGGGGATTATTTTTGAGACAGAGTCTCACTCAGTTGCCCTGGGTAGAGTGCCATGGTGTCATAGCTCACAGCAACCTCGAACTCTTGGGTTCAAGCCATCCTGTTGCCTCAGCCTCCCTGGTAACTGGGACTACAACACCCAGCTGTTTTTAGAGATGAGGTCTCACTCTTGCTCAGGCTGGTCTCAAACTCCTAAGCTCAAGGGATCCACCCACGTCAGCCTCTCAGAGTGCTGGGATTACAGGCATGAGCCACCATGCCTGGCCCAGAGTTAACATGTTTCAAAGTTCTTGTGTTATCTGGGAAGTAATAAAAATGTTGAATGATGATAAACTGTAGTAAGTTAAGGATGTATATTGTAATCTCTAAAATACCCACTAAGCAGTGTCCATAGCTCAGTGGGTAAGGTGCTGGCCACATGCACCAGGCTGGCAGGTTCAAACCCAGCCCAGGCCTGCTAAATAACAATGACAACTGCAACAAAAAACTAAATAAAAATAAATAAATAAACAAAATACCCACTAAAATAATAATATATAATAAGGAAAATTAATAAGCTAATGGGAAAGAAAAATAAAAAATATTTTTTTGGAGGAAGAAATATTTTTTGTGGAGGAAGAAAAAGAGAAACAAAACAGAAGTGACACATACAGAAGAAGCAGTCAGTGAGACCTGGAATCCAAATTTGGGAGCAGTCATGTTAAGTGGAAATAGACTGACTCCTCCCGTTAAAAGTTGTCATTCTAGGTTTATTTTTATTTATTTTTTATTTTATTTTATTTTTTTTTTTTGAGACAGAGTCTCGAACTGTCGCCCTAGATAAGAGTGCCATGGCATCACAGCTCACAGCAACCTCAAACTTTTGAGCTTGAGCAATTCTCTTGCCTCAGCCTCCCAAAGTAGCTGGGCCTACAGGCGCCCACCACAACACCTGGCTATTTTGTTGTTGTTGCAATTGTCGTTAACATTTTAGCTGGCCCAGGCTGGGTTCAAACCTGTCAGCCCTGGTGCATGTGGTCAGCACCCTACCCACTGAGCTGCGGGCACCACCCTAGGTTTATTTTTAAAAACAGCCAATCATATGCTGCTTATAGGAGATATACCTTAAATATAAGGACACAGAATATTGAAAGTAAAAGATTAGAAAAACATTATAACAAAACACAACTGGTATAGCTTTATTGATATTAGAGAAAATTAAAGTTAAAAGGATTACCAGCTGTTAGGAAGGACATTTTATCATTTTAAATGGGCAAAATAATCAGGAATAGATAACAGTTCTAAACTTATTACATCCTATAGTAGTCTGCATAATAATAATAGAACCTCAAAATAAAATTAATTTATTAGTAATCAGCCTGTTACCCAATCTTAAGAGTTCAGAGAAAGCAAAGAACATGACTAAGACTGGGATAAGGGTGAGGTGGAGAGGAGGTTAGTAACATTGAGTGTTCAAGGCAGAGGGAAGGACATTTTCAATGGGGGCAAGACCACTTGAGAGACTAGTAGAGTCCTGCTATAATGTAGAGAGAGATTGAGAGAGAGTAACGTGGCTGTATGAGAAGAGAGTTTATGGATGAGAGCAATGATTGGTAAAAAGTGCTAAAAAAACAGGAGCCTTCGATAAGATATTTAAAAGATGAGACCTTGGCTTGGTGCCTGGTTCAAGTGGCTAAGGTGCCAGCCACATATACCTAAGGTGGCAGGTTCGAATCCAGCCTAGGCCCACCAAACAACAATTACAGCTGCAACCAAATAGCCGGGCGTTGTGGAGGGCAGGCGCCTATAGTCCCAGCTACTTGGGAGGCTGAGGCAGGAGACTCGCTTGAGCCCAGGAGTTGGAGATTGCTGTGAGCTGTGATGTCAGAGCACTCTACCCAGGGGGACAGCTTGAGGTTCTGTCTCAAAAAAAAAAAAAAGATGAGACCTTTTCTTAAAAACCAGGAAGTCAATGAAGTTTTATATAGTAACTTCATCAGATTTCTCAGTCTATCTTACTGCTGTGGAAGGTTGAGTTGAAGAAGGGTGGGACTACTGGCAAGGAACCTATCTCAGTAATCCAGGCTGAGGCCATGGAGATAGAAGGAAACATATTTTTTAAGAAGTATATCAGAACTTGTGAAATATTTAAAGTTTAGGGAGGTTTACTCTTAGATTAGTGAATTAGATATTTAGTAATAGACTTAGAGGTTTTATGGATTACTTAAGAGAGATTTTTAAGGACTGACTTTTTTTTCCTTATATCTTCAAAGCCAACTGCAGGACAGTGTTATAGTTCATTTCCAAAGATCAGTTTTTGTCAAATCATTATGGTTGGTCAGAGCCACAATTTGGTTGTTTTTGTTAACAGAATATAAAATTGGAATGATTAAACTCTCTTGACTTTCTGTTTTAGAATTCCCTCCCTATTTTTTAGTTGACTTATTAAATCTAAATAATCTCTGGGCAGATGTCCCAGTCTCTCTTCAAGGAATGTATGTTGCTTTATGTCCACTAAACATAACAGTGTGGGACACATATATGTGGGTTCCCTGCCCAGACCCAAGTTCCTCACACACATTTATTAACATTCTTTCTCAGACATAAAATTCTGTCTTTAAAAAGAGGCAGTAATTCATCAAGTAGTGAGTTGTTCTGTTTGTTATCTAACTTCTCCTACTAGAATGTACTTTCTTTGAGGGCAAGGACATTGTCTTTTTTGCTCAAGACCTTATCTCCCCTACACCTACATTGGTACTCATCATACACCAGGTACTCAGCAAATACTTATTGAACGAATAAATGAATAAAGAATGAAGGAAATTTATGTTAAGCAAATCAACTTCACTAAAATAAGAAAAATGTTTCTTTTCATTTCAATCTTATAAATTCATTTACTTTTCATTTAAAACGTTGAAAGTCTGATATTAAAATGTTGAAATAAAGTGATTATTTTTAATGTTTGCAGGACTATCTCAAGCAGGTGCTGGACATTGATCTTCATGCTCAAATCCATTTTGGCAGGGTTTTTATGAAACCAGGGTATGAAAATAATCTTGTCTTATATATGGGGTTGGTTTGGGTGGTTTTAACTAATAAACTTTTAAGTGTCTTCTTTTTACATTTTCTGTTATGGATTCTCTATTCTATAAAAGAAACATTATAGTATTAGAATTCTTTGCACAGCTCCTATTTGAAATAGGAATTCATCTTCCTTATGATTTAGTGAGTTTGTTATAAACAAAGCAACTTTCCAAACTTTTTTTCCTTTTTAATTCCCAAATCTAGTTCCTCCTTCTTCTTTTTCTCTTTCTCCCCAAACGGCCTCTTTCTTGTTTTAAACATTTTAGTTTGAAAATTCTCAGATATGCACAAAGGTAGGGAGTACAATGAAACCTCCCCACCCTGCTGCCATGTACCCATCACTAATCTTCAGTGAGTATTGACATTTTTCTATAATCATTTTATTAGTCCTATCCACTGTGCCTTTTTGGGCAGAAGGAGGGCTGGATTGTTTGAAAGCAAATTCTAGACATCATGTCATTTAGGCATATATCTCAAACAATAATAATAACAACAGCATTCTCTTACAGAATCACAGTGCTGTTATCATCTAACAAAATAAATACTAATTCTTTAATACCATCTAATACCCTGATCATACTCAAATCACTCCCAAATGTCAAGAAAAAGAATGCCTTTTTATAATTGTCTTATTTGAATCAGGATTCAAGTAAGGTCCACCACTTACTGTATTTTGTTATTAAGTCTCTATTAAATCTATTAAATAAGAAAATTTTCTCCCAATTCTTTTTTTTTTTTTTTGTTAAGCCATTGACTTGATAAAGAAACTAGATGACTTGTTTTGAGTAGATTTGGCTGATTGCTTCCTTGACTTGTGTTCTTCTATCTTTGATGTATTCTGTAGATTAGAAGTTAGATCTAAAGGTTTAATTAGATTCAGATTCTTTTTTTTTTCCTTTGCAAGAAAGGGTTTCACAATGTTACTTGCTATCTCCCCAAAGGAAAGAAAAATAACCACCTACCAAGATCTTTTATATCTCCTGAAAATTAATAACTACCGCCTCCCCCCTTCCCAAGGAAGGGCTGATAGAGGCTCTGAAATCATTTGTAAATCTTGAAAGAATGCCAAACATTGGTGATGGTGAAACATGTATGGCCATTTTCCTTAAGCAATAGCCTGCCTGCTCATACCTCTGCTACTCTATGAACTTCTAAACTTTTCATTCCCTGTTCAAAGACCTCACTATATGGGTGAGTGTTCCAGCTTGCCTCTATGCTATCAGAGACAACATTAATGATGCTTTAGTTCAGATTATACTCTGATGGACGCTCTTAGGAACCCTGAGAGAATGGAGTAGAGGCTTCCCAGATGTAAGCAAGCTATGGGGAGCATCAACAAATTTCAAAAAGCTTTTATGTGTCAAGCCAGCCTACCTAATATCCCTGATTGATTGGGTACCTTGTATAAATTTTGGAACTGAGGTAAATCTTCTCCTCTACAATTTGGCCATTTCTAGTGCAGAGGTAAGATCATCCCTAAAGCTTTCTTCATAATTTAATGAAATTTAAAATTCTTGGCATTTTAAATTGCACACAAACTATGGATACCTTGTATTTCTTTCTGTAGTTGCCTGTTGAGTATGCCTTAATATGGTTGCTGCTGATCAGGCCCTTTTGTTACTGACACTATGAGATCTGCCTCATTCTTATTAAGAATAATATTTAGTCATAAGCAAATACTGCTAGGCTGTGAGTATATAGGCATTTTTCCCCCTGGCCCCTTGAGTACTATACTAATCTGGCTGGAATACAGAGGACATCCCAAAGACACAGCAGTGTACTTCTTACTAAACTCAAAAATTAAACTGGTGGGGGAGGGAGCAGAGCCAAGAAAGCTGACATTACTTGCCCTTACCTCTAGAGGAGGATTAATTGGTGTAATATCTATTATTGAAAATACTCTCAGCACCTATGATGATAATTTTTGAGAGCTAGTTTTTTTTTCAGTCTATTATTTACCACTTGCTTCAACTTTAGGAGTTCATCAATTCCTAATGTTCAGTCTCCTCCCTTAAAGTCATAATACGCTCTGACCTCAGTCTATAAATGCTTATACATTCTGATCTCCAGAGGAAAACTGAACAAGAGCTGTTGAGTTCCCAGGATATGGCTTTCTAGAACTTAAACTAGTGACTGTCTAACAATAGGACTCATGATAGCAATGCATGATAACAAAATATTTTGTTGTAATAGAATCTTTTTTTTAAGTGACTGTCTTTAGAGAAATCACATTACCTACTTGCCCAAGATGCAAAAGATTATTTATATTGGCCTTCGAACTTAAATTTACTTTAAATACTGCAGAAGGAAGAAGTATTATTCATTCCCTCCTCAATCTTATTATCTGTGTCAGTTTGTTATAGTAACACAGTTTGGAAATTTAAGTGGGCTTCCTTTAATTGACCAAAATTTTATGCTTGTCCAAAGTAAGAAGAACTTAAAAGTAGTTGTTTCTTAATAGAAAATATATATATATAAAGGTCAAATACAATTTAGCTTTTCTCTCTCCACATAGAATGCATTCAGAATGCAATTAAGCTCTTTCATTTTAGAGGAAAAAATTCTCAGAAAAGCATTTGCAGTATTAGCAATCAGACCTACCAATCACTGTTTTTATGGGTCATCTACAGTGAACCTAGCTGTTATCCAGAATGTATCTTGGAAATTATTTTCATCACATAGTAATAATCATGGCCAAATAACCTATGTATAAATCAATATGACAGTCTAATCTCATTTTTCTAAAATACAACAAAGAATCGGGAAATAAGCAAAAAAGCCTCAGTAGTCAAAATAGATGTCACAATCCAAATATGAGCCATGAAGTTAGAACAACTTTGTTAAAATCTTTGTTCCCTCATTTAGTACCTGAGTGATTTTGGCCAAATTGCATAATCTCTGTGATTCTCAACTTCCTCAGCTATAAAAATGAGATAATAATTATTACCTTGTAAGCTTATTATGAGACTTACACAAAATAATGGATGTGATGCAGAGAGAGATGTTACTTTAAAAACAGTGAGTTCTGTTATCCCTATTATTATTTTCATTCCAATAATATAACTATTCTTACCACTCTGGTTCACAAACCTAAAGCCAGCTTTAAGGGTTGATGATGATGGCAGTCTGGCATTACAGGAAACCACAGGAAAAAAACTAGGGTGGGAGAAAGAACTAGAACAAGAACTGTGAAAACACAGCAATGCAAGGTTACCATTTATAGGTGAAAACAACCTGTAGTACTCTTTTGTAACCTAACGTCACAGTTTTATAGCAGAGTACGTGAGTAATGATGGTTATAAATCATCAGAAATGTCAGTGTCACCATATCATTGCAAAAAGTAATGAGTGAGTGATCCATTTTTGAAAGATCAACCTGCAAAAATAGTAAAAATAAAAATAATTTGAGTACTTAAAAGGATGATTTTTCATCTATATGGAAATATTAGCATTCACTGAGGATTCTGTATCACTAAAGTTTCATTAATATAATGAGATGTTTAGATAAAATTCTATATAAGGGGTAATTAACAGAAAAGAAAAATCACTCCTCTCAACTGCCGACTCCATCCGTGGCATTTACCCTTCCATACCACCACAATCAGAATGCATGTCAGAATCTTGAAGAAGTATGATTTAAGAATATTTTTTAATTACTATTGTTTTAATTTTGTTCTAGTCTAATCTAATAATGATATTTATTTGTGTATTTCAAAAAATGTCTCTTGATAGAAAGGAGGTTTTGTGTATTGCTGAGGATAGTTTTAAAAGGTTAAATACTCATCTTCAACAACAGGCAATTATCTGATAGGCATACATTATCAGGTAGTCTTCTGATTGTTAAGAAGGATTCTTATAGGTCTCTAGCAAAACTAGTATACATTATTAACTAGAGGGATGGGGGAAACTCAGAAACTCCAGAATTTGGAGCAGCTTCTATGGCACTGGCAAGAAATAAAAAAAAAAAAAACCAAAGAAAAGTAAGAAGGCTGGGTACTTGCAAACAGAAGATGCTAACAACTAATTTATTTAAATGCCCCTAAAATTCTTCAGAATGTAACCATTTAAAGGCAAGTTAAAGAAAAGTGTTTTTATAATGATAAGTGATCTGTACCAATAGCCACTTAACAAGAAACTGGAGTACTTAATTTACTCCTTATGTCACTTAATCAGTCACTGACAAGTAACCTCTTATTTTCCTCTAGTCTGCCAACAACATTTGCAACTTTGGATATTGATGGTGTAAGAAAAATAATATTTGCACTACCAGGTAAGAATAACTTTAATTTTTCTGGAAAAATAACCAAAATTTCTTCATACTTCTCACATGACCAGTCCTCCTTCAGATCACTTGATTTGGAATTGGAAAGAGCTGAGCTCAAGTCAACTTTACTAACTGACAAATCATTTAACCTCCCTAAGGCTCTTTTCTCTCCTGTAAAATGGGACTAATACCTACTTCATAGGATTGGGGCAAATGTCAAATTAAGTAGTATATTTCAAAGTATATTTCAAACTCTAAGATGATAATCAAATGTTAGCTGTCACTAGATCTTTTTGGGACACTGGCCTATTCCTTCTAGGAAATTGGTCCAAGCAGTCTAAACACCCTCACAACTAGAAGTATTATGCTCAAGGGGCCACTGGGCCTTGATTTACCCATAGAAATAGTAAGTGAAAAACTAGAAAGCTGCTTCTGGTCCTTGCATTTGGGCTGGTTGGGAGGAGATGGAACAGGAAAGGAGGGGCTGCTGGTCTAATACTTCTCTGCCAAATCCCACTCGTCACCAGTCTACATCACCACTCCTCCCTTGCTTTTCAAATTTAGTTTTTTATCAGTTTGGGGCCATATATTTCAAGTGACCAAAAAAAAAAAAAAAGATTATAGAATTCCTTATGCTTATCTGTATTTTCTGGTACAAAGCTTGTATTATAATAGTAATTTTCAAATGCTAAAAAAATAGCAAGTAGATATATAAGCCCTTTAAACTGCTTAAAAGTGTACAAAGATCAGTAATGGCTTTCAATGCATGGCTCTCAAGAAAACAGAAACAAATGAGTTGAACAGTTTCTGGGCATCGGAAGTCTCTGAGTTTTACTGGAAGACCCAGGGTTTTTTACACCTTCTGTGGCATTTGGTTGACTGTCTATTCTGGCATCCTGTTGGATTCAGGGGATTGAGAAGTCGACTAGTGGTTGTTCACTTCTCTTGTGCTCTGTGATACCTGAAGATGGAATCAGATAACGACTGTTTAACAGACTTTTCTGTGGCATACTATAAGTAACTTTTTGGTTGCCTTCCAGGGAATCCTGTATCAGCTGTGGTCACCTGCAATCTCTTTGTTGTGCCTGCACTGAGAAAGATGCAGGGCATCTTGGATCCTCGGCCAACCATCATCAAAGCCAGGGTAATGTTTTCTAATGACCAGAAACCAAAATTAAAGCCTGACAACAGTTAAGGACACGATTTTCTAACTGACTGAAATAAACATCTAGATTTTCATATTAGTTATTTTGGAGAATGTATGTACGTTCTTCCCTTTGTGATAGAAAATAGAGAAAGGGTCCCATTAATTCCCCTTCTATGTGACTTTCTCCTGTGGAGAAAAAGTGCCTCATTTTCTCCAGATAGAAGTCACATAGGAGTCCAGAGAGCAAGGTTAAAATTTGAGTGGATACATAAGGACAGAACAGTCAATAGAATAAAGCTAGCACCACTCTAACACTAGACCTACATGGAACGAGGGACAGGAATTCTCTTTTTACCATGCAGACTCACAGAGAACAGCATTAACATGCTGATTTTACTTGTGACCCCATGAACAGATTTTATGCAATTCAGTCAAAGACCATCAAAAGACCAGAAAGAGGCCCTGTTGATTCAGGAGTAAAGGGTAGCCATGTTGTTTACAAAAGGACTATGAAGGCTGAGAAATTGTACTTCAGTAAATGTCATTTGGAGGCTAGGTCCCGTGGCTCATGCCTGTATTCCCACCACTTTGGGAGGCTGAGGCAGGAGGATCACTTGAGGCCTAGAGTTCAGAATCAACCTGGGTAACATAGCAAGACCTTGTCTCTAAATAGGAAAGTTGGCCAAGCATGGCAGCATGCACCTATAGTCTTGCCTACTTGGGAGGCTGAGGCCCAGGAGTTTGAGGTTGTAGCAAGCTATAAAGACACTCTGGCCTTAACAAAAAACTGAGATACTGTCTCCAAAAAAAAAAAAAGTCACTTAGAAATTAAACTTTTTTTGGCTCGGCACCTGTAGCTCAAGTGGCTAAGGTGCCAGCCACATACACCAGAGCTGGCGGGTTCGAATCCAGCCCAGGCCTGCCAAACAACAATGACAACTACAACCAAAAAATAGTCAGGCCTTGTGGTGGGTGCCTGTAGTCCCAGCTACTTGGAAGGCTGAGGCAAGAGAATCGCTTAAGCCCAAGAGTTGAAGGTTGCTGTGAGCTATAATGCCACGGCACTCTACCCAGTGCAATAGCTTTAGGCTCTGTCTCAAAACAAAAAAAGAAATAGAACTTTTTTCTCCACCAACAGTAACTTTAGTTTGACTTACAAAACAAATTATATTACGCACTTTCTGTGTTACTAATGAATAATGTTCATGGCAATATACTTATAAACTGTAATATCAAACCATTGCTTTTCAAATATCCAGAAGTAAATTTAGCTACAACAGGATGCTATGATTAGCTGACAGGAAGAGCAAAAAACACAGAAAAAGAAATGAAATATTACTCAGAGAATACATAGGAGAAAAACATTAAGAAAAGCTAGGCTTTAGCTGTTCTTAACATTGACTTTCTAAATACTTTAGAGCCTTTGTGGACTAGTACATGAAGAGATTTTTTCTTTTTAAATGTCATTAAAAATATAACTTGAGTTTTTTTCAATAATCATGGTGCTAGTCTTATTTAAAATGGAAAAAGAACCAAAAAACCATCAATGAAGAAAAAGTATTCTAATTAAGTCAGAAGTTCAAAGTCAGCCATGTATGGTAGCTCACACCTGTAATTCTACCATTTTGGGAGGCCAAGGTGGGAAGATCACTTGAAGCCAGGAGTTTGAGACCAGCCTGAGCAATATAGTGAGACCCCATGTATTTAAAAAAAAAAAAAACTGTTTTAAAAGTGCAGGTGTAGGGCAGTGCCTGTGGCTCAAAGGAGTAAGGCTCCATATGCTGGGGGTGATGGGTTCAAGCCCAGCCCCAGCCAAAAACTGCAAAAAAAAAAAAAAAAAGTGCAGGTGTGGTGATACACACCTGAAGTCCTAACTACTTGGGAAGTTGAGGCAGGAGGATTGCCTGGGCCCAGGAGTTTGAGGCTGCTGCAGTGAAGTATGACCATGTTGTGGCGGCTGAGCCTGGGCAACATAGTCAGACCCTGTATCTAAAAGGAAATAAATAAATACTTTTTTAAAATAAAGTCAGAAAACTTAGCTTTAGACAGTCAAATGAGTAATATTGAATTTACTTATTCTTTTCATTATTAGATAAATTAAAGAAACAAAAAAAATTCACATATTTGTGAGAAAGAAAGAGGCTTCTCTTTGACTTTGCAAAGCTCTTGTGAATCCTTTCATTTATTTCTCACTTTAACATCTACCATCTGCTCTTTAAAACTCACCTGTGGCTGCCATCCATCCTGACAACAGTGATGAGATGGTGCTCTGTAATCAAACTGATATTTGATGTGCCTCTCAGAATGCTGTTCATTCCTTACCAGGTCAGGAAGTGAAACCAGACTAAAAGTCAGGCAGATGCCTTTCTCCTATAGCAGCGTCACCGGGACTGCCAGTATGAGGGATCAGTATGCTTGGCTATTTATCTCTTTTGTGCTTAGTTTCCCAGATCACTCTCAAACCTTCACTGACATAACTGCCACTTTAAAAGCATAAGCCTGTTCACTTCCTTGAAACACAGCAAATCTTATCTCTATTTCCTAAACATTCAAAATGCAGCTTAGACACTCACTCCACTTATTACTATTCAGAATAAATGCCGCCATCATTGCCTTTCCCAATTCTCTGATGTCATCATTCTGCATTATTTTAAAACGGTCAACACATCTTCCGTTTCCCCAAAGCAGAACTCTAATCTCCCCCCACCTCTCTGATTGTGGGTCTTAAGACACTCATTCCAGTGAGAGTCCCACCCCTTATCCAGAAGACTAATCACATTTCAACAGTGACTGTTCCTAAAAACCCAAGGAGGAGGTTCAGAGAGCTTCCCGAGAGCTGAACTTGTGGAGGTTCCTGGAGCCCAGGGAGAGCAAGGGAAGCTCCACTCTCCTTCCCCTGTACCTCTCCTCTTCATCTGTATCCCTTGTGATAGCCTTTATAATATACCAGTAAACACACAACTTTTTTTTAATAAAAAGGTCAGCACAGAAAATGTTATCCTTTTTATATAAGGAAGTATGAAGAATCCTCAAAGAACTCAAATTAGACCTCCTATTCAATCCTGCAATCCCATTACTAGGCATCTAACCAGAAGAAAAAAAATCATTTTATTATAAGGACCTTTGCACTAGATGTTTATTGCAGCTTAATTTACAATTGCCAAAATGTGGAAAGAACCTAAATGCCCACCAACTCAGGAGTGGATTAACAAACTGTGGTATGTGTATACCATGGAGTGCTATTCAGCCACTAAAAAAGGTGGAGACTTTACATCTTTTGTATTAACCTGGATTGAATTGGAACACATTCTTTTTTTTTTTTTTGAGACAGAGCCTCAAGCTGTCCCCCTGGGTACAGTGCCGTGGTATTACAGCTCACAGCGACCTCCAACTCCTGGGCTCCAGCAAGTATCCTGCCTCTGCCTCCCAAGTAGCTGGGACCACAGGCGCCCGCCACAACGCCCGGCTATTTTTTGGTTGCAGCCATCATTGTTGTTTGGCGGGTCTGGGCTGGGGATTCGAACCCGCCACCTTAGGTGTACGTGGCTGGCGCTTTAGCCGGTTGAGCTATAGGCGCCGGGCCGGAACACATTCTTTTTAGTAAAGTATCACAAGAATGGAGAAGCAAGAATCCAGTGTACTCAATTCTAACATGAAAGCAGCCGATGATCTAATACAAGGGGAGTAGGGGAATGACAGAAGTAGAGAGGGGAGGTGGGAGGAGGATGGTGGGATCACAGTGTATGGCACACCTCTGGGGTGAGGGGGACACAATTATAAGAAGGACTTTACGTAACAAATGCAATTAGTGTAACCTAATTCTTTGTACCATCAATGAATCCCAAACAATAAAAAAAAAAGAAAATGTTACCCTTTTATATCAGAGCATCAGTTTAGAATACACATGTGCCTTATTTTCCTTAGTTGCTTATGATTGAAGTTGAAATACTTTTGATTTTTTCGTATATAATCAGAAGTACAATCCTAGCAGTTCAGGGTGACCCAGGGTTTCCACATAAGGATGTCCTATCATGTGTTTCCTTAATATCCCATCAAAATGCTTTCCTCCTCTTGTTTTCAACTTTTTTCTCTAGACACAAAGCTGAATTAACTCTAATTAGTGTTAACAGCTTACCTGAGGCAGTGACTAAAGATGAAGGGAAAAGCATGTTTTAGAAGACAGCCAACTAGTGCTCATCTTCCTCACAAAGAAGCCAGAACAGTGAATTCACAACATTTTAATGAAAATAGCTGAGGGTAAGCAACGGAATAGATCAGAAACCCTGGCGACCACAGAAACTCAGAATGGCCAGGTGAAACGAAAGGAAATGCCAGTCCTCACCATCCTGTCCTCCAACCAGGATCAGCTAGAAACTAAAAGGAACTTCTCACAAGAAGATCCTAGCAACCCTGTCCGTATCTTGCACACCTCACCAGTGGGGTCACTACAGTTCTCAGAGGCACAAAGCCCAGCTGAGGAAAGTTGCCTGGAGTCCACTGTCTGTGCTCCCCACAGAAAAGGAACCTATCTTGTGCCCCAGGCCTCCTGCCCGGGAACTAGAGAGAGTGTATCTCACTCTGACGGCAGGTGGTCCCAGCATCCATTTATCCCTGAAGCTAAGCTCCTGCTAGACCACCACCCTGCCTGGTGGTCTAAGATCCCCAAGCTGAGGTGCAAGCGATTGTTAACACTCTTGGGAAAGAGGGCAAGCAGAAATGGGACTGTTCTACCCCTCATCCTTCCTTCAAGGGCCAGAGCTGAAGCAGTGCCCTGTATCCTGTGCACTAGGATATGCCTGCCAACCAGAACAGTCATGCACCCAAGTGTGAGCTGAAGCAAAATATTGCCCCCTAGGAAAGTGGTGCCTTGGCTGGTGAGTAGTTGGGCATCCCAGGCCAAGCTGACATAGTACCCACATCCCAGGGAGACGTGGCAGTGGACACCCTGCCTTACAAGCCAGGCAACTCTAGTACCTTGCTTCCCTAGAACTGGACTA